CCCCTCCTCAGATCCAAGTTCGCACCCTTCTCCAAGCGCCTCGCCTTCCGCGGCCCAGGCTTCACCACCTGTGACGCGCTCTCGCTGCCCCCCTCGGACTCGTGATCGTTTGATGCCTCGCCCTCGTCGATCTCCTCGAGGCCCCTGCGCGCCGCGCCGGCCTGCTGCGCAGCCTGGAGGTCAGCGCATCGAGGGCCGCGGACGCGGCCGGCACTCTGCGGCGGTTCGCGGCAGCGGGTCCCGCGGCCCGCAAGCCCGGCGGCTGCCCGGCAGAGGTGGCCGTCAGCACCCGCGGGCGGCAGGTCGGCTGGGGCAACTGGACGTCGTTCGGCAGCGCCCGCTTCCCAATCCACCACCGCCGGCTGCCGCGCCGAAGGGGCCACGGCGGCCCCTGCTCGAAGCTCGAGCCCAGGTGGCCGAGGTAGACGGGGAGGCCCTGCCATAGGTCTCTGGGGGGTTCATTGGTAACGTTCCATTCTGAAGGATCCACCTGATAGCTGGTCGAATCTCTCTGCGCACCACTTTTCACCTGAGTCCACCAAGCTTAATATCGTGCCCGACACCGTTCGAAGGCCAGCACCATCCCGAGGTTGTTGCCAAGGTATAGCTTGCGCACGCCATCACCTGGCCGAGCGCGCGCCCCCCTGTGCAACATCGCGACAGCAGCGCGGGCCTCCAGCAGGGCGATGTGCTCCGCTGATCGCCAGCAGCCTCGCAATGTGACCCACCAGTCATCCCTCTCTAGCAGTTTCCTGGGGATCTCTGGGAAATCAGCGACCTCCTCGAAGGCCTCCACGGGCAGGTCTGCGTCGTCGTCGTCGAAGCTTTCCAGACATGCCTGCTGTAGAACGCGATCCCTGGCGGAGGCAGGAGTGGGGCGACGCCTTGACCTCTCAGGCACTCGCCCGTGTTGGGCCGCAACCTCCGCGCCCCGCCACGTAGAGCAGCTTCCCGCCCCGTCTCGCCGGCATCAACCGCCCCGCCCCAGGGAAGCTCCCAGGAGGCGATCAACGGCGGCGCGAGGCCCAGGACGGCGGTGAACTCGGCCCTCGCCGAGGCCCGCATGGGGAAGAGCCCCGCGGGGTGCGCCTACGCGAACTTGCACGCCGCGTGGGGCGCGGAGATGGTCTCCGCGCCAGCAGGCCGACACTCGTGCAGTGGCCCACGAAGACCTCCACAACGTGCGCCGAGACCTCCCGCCTTGCCGGCAGCCTGCGCAACCCTGCGCCAACCCGCCAGCAGCGGGCCGCCGCGAGTCGCACCTCGCGCCCCTCGGCGTCGAGCGCGACGCCCGGGCTGCGCGGGCGTGCGCGGAAATGCCTGCCCGCTCGTTGGGCGCGCGCGCGCCCGCGAAGCCGGCGGCCCCGCGGCGGCGGCCCGCGTCCAGCACGCCCAGGTTGTCCACGTACACATAGTGCGATGTCGGCGCCCCCGCGCCCAGCGCCGCGGGCCGCCGACGGTCCGCCAGCGGCGGCTGCAGCTCCAGCCCAGGCCCTCGCGCTGCGCGGCACTCGTTCGCGCGCTGCGCCACGATTAGGCCCCAGCTGGGACCCGTCGGGAAGTTAGCGCAGCAGGGCCACCGGAACTCGTCGGTCGATCTGACGCCCAGCCCCGCGCGCCCCAGCAAGCCCGCAGCCCGCGCCGGCAGCGGCGGCAGCGCGAAATACTCCGCGAGCTCCTCGCGCATCCGCAGGCGGTGGGAGCAGTCCGCCACGTCCGCCTGGGCCAGGTAGACGTCGCCGGCCCCCGTCTCGAGCTCGATGCGACCGAGCCCCATCGGCCGCGCGTAACTGCGCGCCTGGCGGTGGTCCAGACAGCCTGTTCACCGGCTTCGCATTTGCGATCATCCGAAGCGCCCCGCTTTTCTTCTCCACGAAGAGCAACGAGATCAGGCCTTTCGGGCCCCCCATCCAATGAATCATATTCCCCCGGTCAAGCTGACGCACGAACCCCCTGTGGCGCCGAGCCGACGACGGCAATCCACGCGCGGCTTAACAGCCCAAAAAGCCTGGTCGAGCTCGTTCACCCCCGCGGGGCTCCAACGATTACGTTCGATGAACCTCTCGAGCAAATCGCGGGCGCGCGGGCCCCCGATCAGGTCGGCGTACCTCGCGTCGCGGACGTCTTCGGGAAGCGACGCCTCGCCCTCCTCGTAGGGCGCCGCAGCCATGCGCGCCTGGTCGTGCACCGACTCGGCGCGGAGAAGCGCGCGCGGCTTCCTCCTGGGAGTCCCTGCGATCTGGCGCCTGCCAGCTGTGGACAGCCTTCAGCACACGCTCGTAGATCTCCCGATGGACAGGGGCCGCGGCAGCAAGAGCTCGACCATGCATCGCCACCCCGGCCTGACATCCAGTTCAGAGCATGCGAACACCGCGTTGCCCCTGTTGTCCAACGCGCGCCGTCGCCCGACCCGCTGGCGAACTCCTATCGAAACTCTGCGCGCGGGCCCCTCTGTCTCGCGCATCGGCGCGGGGGAAATCTTCTCGGGGTTGGTGAGTTCCCTGGAGTATTCTGCCGCTGCTCCTAAAACTCGGCATCCTCCTTCGCCTTGCGAGCCGCGAAGCGCTTCAGATCAGGCGACGCCGCGCCCGACTAGCGCTTGAGCCCCAAGAAACACTTCGCGTTCTTGAAATTGGGCTTGCTCGGGTTGTTCTCATACGCGTCCGCGACCGCATGCGCTCGCAGGCACGAACACCAGCGACCGGAGGTTGGGCTGACCGTAGCTGCCCGAATACTCCAACGCATCAATGATCGTCCTGAGCTCGTAGCGCACGCGATCACTGCTCGCGATGTTCTTGCTCTGCGGCCACTAGTCCAACCAGCCCGACGGCGCGCGGCCGGCCCGCTCCACGCGCGCGCGCAAGTGGGCCGCCGCGGGCGGAGAGTCCAGCGGCCAGTCGGTGAAGGCGTGCCGAATCATCACCGCCGCCTCCTCCCCCATGGTCCGCACATCGTCGTCTTCGCCGCCGGTGGGCCCTGCCGTCGCGCGGCCGCCACCGTTGAGGCGAGCTGCCAGCGCGCCCAGGCCGCCGTCAGCGCGAGGCGCGCTGGTACCAGCAGCCGCCTCTGCCTCGCCGACCGCGTCGCCAGGGCCAGGGGCGGGCCCAGGGCGACGGGCCCGCTCGCGGAAGGCCCCCCGCTCATGCGCCGACAGGGCAAGCACCCTCGTCCAGCCAACGCCATCCCCGACGAGCGCCTCGTGCACCCCCCCAGCGCCACCCACCAGCACGTCGCCCTCGACGACCTCCATGATGTCGCCGACGCGCTCCCAGCCGACCGAGACTTCCACGCCCGTCCAGGCAGTGCTCTCTGGCGGCAGCGCGCGCGGCCCCGCCAGCGAAAGCCCAACGGGCCGGCGATCCGCCTCCTCAGCAGCAGCCCCGCCAGCATCGTCATCAGTAAGGGCCATCAGATGCTGGCCCCGCGGGCGTTTCGAAGACGACGCCCAGCAGGGCCCCGATCGGCCGCTCGCGCCCGCTCGGGCTCACGTAGCTCCCGACCTGCGGGAACGCCACGCCGTCAGCCTCCAGCAGCGCCTCCTCAAGCGCCTCGCCGACGAGCGCCCACAGCTCCCGCGTGCACTGCCTCGCGCAGTCCCGCCGGTAGCGCGCCGCCCCGCAGGGCCCGCGTACGGATTGGCCCGTCGGCGCAGCCCGCCACGCTCTCAGCGTAGACGTGGCCGTCCGGAGTCAGGATAATCCATGTTCCTGCCTCCGCCGTCGGCCACAGGCACATCCTCTCGTGCCAAACTATGTCGTCTTCGAACCACGCTAAGTACAGCTCTCCTGGCCGAAGGCGGCTCCAGAACTCCCGCCCCGCCGCGACGCTATGATCGCCATGCTGCCGTCGTCGGCACGACGTCGCCGCCAGCCACCCAGTGTTCACCACCGAAGCCGCGCAGCCCAGCACGGTCAGCCAGTCCGCTTCTGACGAAGGCTCGCCGCCGTCGGCGTCGCACACGCCGCCTCCGAGCACCCATGGCGGTTCCGTGGGCGGGCAGGCGCAGCTCGGGCGGGGCGGGCACTCAGGCCAGGGCTCGCCACCACCAGGGCAACGGATCTGCGGCGCCTGGGTGAGAAACGGTTTCACCACCGTCTCGCGAAAGACAACGAAGACCGCCCCTGTGCTGGCGGCCTGGCCGGGATTCATCCCGCGAATGTAAACGTTTGCTACATCGACCAGAAACAATCCCATTCAAACCTGTGCACGCACATCAATGATCCGAGTCATCATCACCATCAGCATCGTCATCTTCATCCTCAGTATCAGCATCATCGTCATCAGCATCATCATCAGCATCATCATCAGCATCATCATCACCATCACCATCCTTATCATCCTCCTCCTCATCATTATCATCAGCATCATACTCAGCATCAGCATCATCACCATCATCATCACCATCACCATCATCGTCATCATCATCATCGTCTTCATCAGCATCATCATCATCATCCTCATCCCCATCCTCACCCTCATTATCAGTATCATCATCATCATCAACAGCATCATCATCATCAGCAGCATCATCAGCACCATCATCATCGTCATCATCGTCATTATCCTCCTCATCATCATGAGCATCAGCATCAGCATCAACATCAGCATCAGCATCCCTCGTCCCGCATCAGCCTCCTCCTTCCTCCTCATCCCTCCTCCAAGCTCCTCCTACTCCTACTCCTCCTCCTCCTCCTCCTCCTCCTCCTTATCATCCTCCTCCTACTCATCTTTGTCTGGGCGTTGTGGGGGGGTATCTGCGAGGCGAGGCTTCCGGGAGGGGTTGGATGTGTCTTGGTCGGCCTATCCTGCCGCGAGGTGGCGCGCCAATGGCCATGAAATTCAGCTGCAGCACGCTTGCACCGTCGAAGCTTGTGTATCCTTCGCCCGCTTCCCACTTCCCCACCTTCACCCCTCCTCCACCTCCCCCTCCCGTCCCCCTGGCCCATCCGTACCATCAATTTCGACTGCATGGCCACCGCTCGCGAAGGGGGGGTGGCGGCCATGAGCTGCACGAGCGTCGTGCAGTCCGCAACGCCACCATCCTGGGCGGGCTCGGGGAGGCACTGGAGCGAGCAGGCGGGGCGCACGAGGGGGACAGTCTTCGAACAGGAGATCGACTATAATCGATGTACCCCAAAATGGATGTTTCGTCGCATCGCTGGAAAGTGCGTGAAACGCTCCGCTGATGCACGGAACATTCTCGGTATGTTTCACAGATTCGACAAGTCGCATGGCGAGCACCGCGGGAAAGGCCGGGCTCTCCAAACGTGCTTGGCACGGGGAGGGCGGCGGCAAGGAGAGAGAGGCTCTGAAGATATGGCGGCAGAGTGCAGCTCTTGCCTTGGGGGGGGAGGGGAGAGAGGGCAGCCGCGAGGAGATGAAGCGGGAGATCACGATATGCTGCTCCCCCCCGCTCACTCCCGCACCTCCGCCGCCGCCGTCTCCTCCTCACCAGAGGCTCCCAGATCTGATCTAGGGCAACTACCTTCGCGCTTCGCGCGCCGCGAAGCGCGATTTTCCTCGCGCCTTCGAGCCGTCGCCTCCTGGAAGAGGATGAGTGACTCGCGCCTCGCTATGAAATCGCCCGTACCAGCGTGGTGGCCCACGGCCGGACCTAGGACAGAAAAACATCCTTCAAGAACATGAGACCCTCCGCCGGCCAAACTGAAGAACATTCGAGAGCATCCTCCCCAAAGATGCAAAAGAGCATCCAACAGACACGAAGAAGACTCGAGCACCCTCCCCGAACCGACCACGATCTCAGCCTCGGTCCGACCGTAATCTGCTGAAGTCTCCTCGGTAAGCAGCCGCCGCCCCGACCTCTTCGTGACGCCCAGGGCACCAGGATCGGGCGTTGGAGAGGGACCTCCGGACCCGGCACTGGAGGGACGCGTCCTGGCCAAATCGCCTCGGGGCGGATATGGCCGTGGCGACGAGAGGCCGACAGAGGCACGGGGAATGCCCCCAATCCCCGACCCTCGGTACTCGAGAATCCTCGATCTTCGGGCTGCGAGGATCGCCGACTGCCTAATCTTCGGATGTCCTCATCGACCCTGAGGGATCATAGGTATTCGAGGCTCGTCGATCTTCGACCCTTAGACAATCCTAGGTCCATGAGACCCCTGAGGTTGGATGCTGGATCTTCGCGGATCGTCGAAGATCCTCGATGTTCGAAAAGCCTCGGCGTTCAGTCCTTGGCATTCGATTCTTGACTTTCGATGTCGGACGACTGCCCACTGCGCGTCGGCGCCGCCAGCGGCTCGCGCGAACCCGCCAAACAACAAAACAACAACAAAACGGCAAGCTGTCCGTGACGTACAGGAGGCCCGGCGGCGAGGGCCCCTCGTACTGGTGCGCGATGCCCTGGTGTATCTGGCCTCGGCGGCGGCTCCACTGGGCAACGAGGGAGCCGTTCGGGGGCTGCTGGCGGTGTCCCTGACCCAAGGTGTCCCCAGCGTTTCGCTCCCTCCCGGAGCCCCCTGGGGCCCCCTGGAGCCCCCTGGAGCCCCTCTGGAGGAGGAGGAGGAGGAGGAGGAGGAGGAGGAGAAGGAGGAGGAGGGGGAGCAGGAGGAGGAGAAGGAGGAGGAGGAGGAGGAGTGCTCTGGAGGCAGCGGGGGCCTCCTTTTGGAGACGCTGGGGCCACCTTGGGCCAGGGACGCTCCCCCGCAACACGCGAGACGTGGGGGGGGGGGGGGGGGGAACCGGCTCAGGGGGGGAGGGGGAGACCGTCGACCTGGCCTCGGCGATACATCGCCGATAGATCGGGGATGGGCCGCCGATGACAAGTCCGCACGCTCCTGAGCAGGGCGTGCCATCGGGCCCCCATCGGCGATGAATGGGCGATCGGGGTTCGATGCGTCCCCCTCTGAGCCTATCCCCCCTCACGTTGCCCCGGACGCGAAGGATAGAAAGGAAGTGCGCCGTAACGGGCGAAACACCAATTGAGAAAGGAGAGCCAACAACAGAAACATGAACTAGACATATATACGAGACCATGCCTCGAGGCACACATTGGAATGTCCTTAAGTCTTTCGAGTCCTCTGCGCTGAATACTAATACCCTTTCAGGGGGCCACATCCATGATTCCGGTCGCATCCAGGGGTTATCCGCACGCCTCTTGGGCCTTGACGCGTGTCCCTGAAGCTAGGTAGCCCGAAGACACACAACATGACCTCAAAACATGCCAAGAGACATCCAAGACGTTCCCAGGGGGCCCCACAAGGATGCCCAACAGACCAGTTTCATCGATGTCCTTTAGAAGTGTTGACAGATTTGAGCGCTCTCGCCTTTTAGGGTTTTCAACCACCCAAGACGGCCTACGAGGCCCCCAATATCGCCCCAAGAGGGACCGAAGAGAGGCCTTAAAGCTGTCTCCAAGGAGGCCACCGAGAGGCTTCCGAAGATATCCAAACAAGCATCCCCAACAACCGGCCATGAGACCTCTGACCCACAACCCAGGAGCATTGGCGGGACGGGCCGAAGATCTGTGTGTACGTGTGTGCATAGATGCACATACGTATGAAAAAGCGAGCCCGTCGCACACTAAAAGGGGGGCCCCAGCTTCAAGCTACCCCCCCCTCGTGGAAAAGGGGGGGGGCTTTCGAAGCTACTCCCCCCCCTCCCCCCTCTGTTGTCTGCATTTTTATTTTGGGGGGGGGGCCCAGCCAAGAGAGGGGGGGGGGGCTTGGAAGCTACCCCCCTTCCCCCCCTTTTCGGGGCCGGGGGTCAGCCTGGGCTCTCTTTTCAAAGGAGGAGGCTTCCCAAGCTACCCCTCCTTCATGTCGTTTAAATTTTGTAGCTGAGGAGTCCCTGGATACCCCCCCTCCCCTACTTCTGTCGGCTTCTCTAGCTGGAGGGCCATGGCTGAAGGGGCGGCTTCAAAGCTACTTTTCTCATTTGGTTTCCGGCGGCCGCTTGGTTTTTTGCGTATTTGTGGTTTTCGGCAATTCTTTGATTTTCGGCGCCTCTGCGGTTTTCCGCGCCCCTTTGGCTCTTGGCGCCCCTTAGGTTTTCGGCGACCCTTTGGTTTTCTGCGCTCCTTTGGGTTCTTGGCGCTCCTGAAACTTCGGCGCTCCTTGGGTTTTCGGCGCCCCCATTGGTTTTATGCGCACTCTTTTCGGTGCATCATTGTTTTTTCGACGCCCTTCTGGGTTCTGGCGCCCCTTTGGTTTTAGGCACCCGTTTGGTGTTCGGCGCCCCTTTGGTTTTAGGCGCCCCTTGGGGTTTCGGCGCCCTTTTAGTTTTCGGCGCCCCTCTGGTTTTGGGCGCCCTTTGGTTTTCAACGCCCGTCTGGTCATCGGCACCCCTTTGGCTTTTCGGTGTTTTTGTAGTGTTTCGGCGCCCTTTTGGTGTTCGGAGCATCGTTGGTTTTCCCCGCTCCTTTCGTTTTCGGCGAGTCTTTGGTTTTAGGCGCCCCTTTGGTTTTTCGGCTCCTTTGCGGTTTTGGGCGTCCCTGCGGTTTTCGGCGCCCCCTTTCTTCCGGCGCAAATTTAGTCTGCGGCGCCCTTTTTGTTATCGGCGCCCCTTTGGTTTGTCGGCGCCCTTTTGGTTCTCGGCGCATCGTTGATTATCGGCGCCCTTTTTGTTTTCGGCGCTCCTTATAGTGTTCGGCGCCCCTTGGGTGTTCGGCGCCCCTTTGGTTTTGCTCTTTTGGTTTTCGGCGCGTTCTTGGTTTCTGGCGCATCTTTGGTTTTCGGCCCCCCTCTTTGTGTTCGGCGCCTTTTTCGTGTTCGTCCTCCTTTTGGTTTTCTGCGTCCCCCCTTGATTTTCGGCGCTCCTTTGGTCTTCAACGCCCGTTCGGTTTTTGGCGCTCCTTTGGTTCTCGGCGCCCCCTTTGGTTTTCGGCGCACTCGTTGGTGTTCGGAGCATCGTTGGTTTTCGGCGCCCTTCTGGTTCCGGCGCCCCTTGGTTTTCGGCGCCCGTTTGGTTTGCGGCGCACCTTGGGTTTTCGGCGCCCGGGCGGTTTTCGGCGCTCTTTTGGTTTTCGGCGCCCCTTTGGTTCTCGGCGCTTCTTTGGCTTTCAGCGCTCCTGTGGCTTTCGGCGCCCTTTTGGTTTGCAGCGCACCTTCGCTTTTCGGCGCCCGGGCGATTTTCGGCGGTCCTTCGGTTGGCGGCGCGCCTGTGGTTTTCGGCGCCCTTTCGGTTTTCAGTGGCCCTTTGGTTTTTCGGCACTCTGTTGGTTTCCGGAGCCCTTTTGGTCTTCGGCGTTCCTTCCTTTACCCAAGAGGGGAGGGTCAAGCGCCCCCTCATTAGCCAAAAAGGGTGGAAGGGGGGAGCTTCGGGCAGGGGAAATTCAACGAGGGGGGGGTCTGGTAGCTAAGCCGCCCCCCCCTTTGGAAAGGGGAGGACGGGGGGGGTTACCTTCTGGAGCGCGAAAGGGGGGGAGGGGGAGGTAGCTTTCGAGCTTTCGAGGGGCAGGAAAAAAAGGGGAGAGGGAGGGCAGCCTTCCGGCAGGGGGGGGGTCAAAGGGAGGGGGGGGGTGTAGCGAAGGAAGGCCCCCCTCCTTTTGAAAGGGCGGGAGGGGGGGGGAGCTTCCGAAACGCGAAAGGGGGGGCGAGGGGGGGTAGCTGGGTAGATTCCGCCATGCGGGGAAAAAAAGGAGGGGGGCTTCGGGCAGGGGAGGTCGAAGGGCGGGGGGTCGCGAAGGGCCCCCCCTTTGGGAGTGTGCAGCGGGCGCGGTCTCTCGTATGGGCGTAAACATATGCGCCACGATAACAGCATCAACAGACACGTCGCGCCCCCAATACCCGCCCTCTTTCCCCCGTCCTTCAACACCCTCCCCTGGGTAGTTCCGGGGGTAAACAAAGAGGGGAAGAGCCAGGAGAAAGGGAGGAGGAGAGGAAATGCAGACAACGCATGTCCTGCCACCGAACCGGCCTTGGCACCACGTGATCATGCTACCTTACTTGCGATACAAACACCTGCGGCAGCAAATGGACCAGCTACAATTACACGCACCGCGTCCTCCAACGCACTACTGTACCATCTACTCACAGGAATGCCTCTTGGCACGAAGGGCCGTTGGTGCGCGGCTTGCCGATCGTCGCATGCGAAGCGACAGTCGCATGCGAAGCGACAGTGGCCCGCACTGTCATGAAATTCCATGCCCTGCCCCGCTCCCCTGTCTTCCCCTCCCCTCTCCCCTTCCCCCTCCGACGCCACTTTCGCCCCCCGACCCACCCCTCCTCCCCTGATTATTCTCTCTCCATTTCCCCCGCCTCTCCGCCTCCCTCTCCTCCTCCTCCGCCGTCTCCTCCGACGTCACCTCTTCCATCCTCCTTCCTCCCAGGCATCCGACGTCGTTATTCTATCACAACGTGGCTCTCTGGACCCCTTCCACGGGATTAGCTGTTCATCCCGAATAATTGTTTAACGGTCTGGGTCCCGGGACCGGGTGAATGCCCCCCGGAACGAACATGGCCAAAAACCGTCCGTCATGATGTATCCACGACGGGAGGATGCCAGGGCTTCTATTCCTCCTTCTTTCCATGGCTTCTTTTTCACCGTCTGGCGCACAGCAGACCTTCTCATCCCTCCTGTCAACCCTCCTTTTGTTTGTTATTTTGTTTTGTTTTCTCTCTCTCTCTCTCTCTCTTTCTCTCACTCTCTCTCTGCTCCTCACGACCATCACGGGCATCCCTGCCCCCATTCCTCCGCCAAGGTTCCTCCGTCGCAATCGTTCTCTTCCACCAACCCTCCGCCGTCTCCGTCCCCAGGCGTGAGTGCTTCACAACATGGCTCCCCAAAGGTCTGGACCCCCCATCCCTCCGGACCGGATTTCCATCTGAAGTAGTTTTTCGACGCGGGGCCCGACGAGGACCCCTGGAGGCCGAACATGGGCACAAACCTCCGTCGCCATTGCTTCAGAGCGAGAGGATGTCAGGGCCTTAGCCCCCTCATCCTATCCATATCCTTCCTCAGGCCTATCCTCATGCTCATCCCTGACTCCTCCTCATGTTCATCCTCCTGCTGCTCCCCTCCCGTCATACTGGCTTATCCTCGCCCCACCTCATGATAATCATCATCAGCAGCATAATCATCAGCATCATAATCATCACCATCATCATCCTCATCCTCATCCTCATCATCACCATCATCATCACCGTCGTCATGAGCATCATCATCATGCTGATGATGGTGATGATGATGATCATCATCATCATCATCATCAGCAGCATCATAAACATCGTTAGCAGCATCATAATCATCATTATCAGCATCATCGACATCATCGTCAGCAGCATCATCATCAGCAGCAGCAACATCTTCGTCACCACCATCAGCATCAACAACAGCATCATCATCATAATCAGCAGCATCATCATCATCATCATCATCATCATCATAATCATCATCATCATCATCATCATCATCATCATCATCATCGCCATCGTCATCGGTGTCGTCCTCGTTGTCGTCGCCGTCATCGTCATTGACACCATCACCATCACCACGAGCACCACCACCATCATCATCATCAGCAGCAGCAACAGCCGCAGCAGCATCCTCATCCTCATCCTTATCCTCTTCCTCATCCTCATCCTCAGCGGCATCACAACAGCAGCAACATCATCATGATCAACGTCAACACCAAAATCATCAGAAACATCATCACCACCATCAGTATCACCTTCACCGTCATCGTCACCATCACCAGCATCAGCATCAGCATCAACATCATTACAACCACCATCATCACCATCACCGTCGTCATCATCATCACCACCATCACCATCACCAGCACCAGCACCATCACCAGTACCATCACCGTTATCCTCCTCATCATCATTATCATCCTCATCATCAGCATCATCACCATCATCATCCTCAACCTCATCGTCATCATCAGCAGCAGCTTCTTCACCATCATCATCATCAGCATCATCATCGCCATCATCATCCTCCTGATCATCATCATCCTTATCATATTCGTCCTCATCATTATCTTCATCAACATCATCAACATCTTCATCTCCATCAGTATCATCAACATCGCCATCGTCATCGTTCTTGCCATCATCAACAATATCATGATCCGACTATTCCTGATCCGCCTTCCCCCCTCCTCCTGTAGAACCCCCGTGGGTGCCGTATAGCTACCTGGGACAACTTAGACTAGAACTTAGAACTTCCCAGACCTCCGACCATGCGACACATTTCTCATCCCGAGTCGGTGTTTGACAGTCTGGAGTCCCAGTAAGGGCCCCAAGAGGCAGAAAATGTGTCAACACCTTCAATCTTGCTTGTGTTGCACCGGGAGGACGTAAGGGTCCTCCACAGCCTTCCCCCATTATTCTCCTCATACTCTATCGTTACTCTAGTCAAAATCGACCCTTTCGACCTGCCCCGGAGCGCGATCTGACCCAGATTTCGAGCAGATACGGCCACCCGAGGCGAGGGCCACCAACGAGGCCTAAACACAGCGAACAGCATCATATACAACAAACTGTGCTTACCTCTCCTGCGTTCTGCCCCTCCTTGGCATGAGGGAGAAGAGTGCAAGTGGAAAGGGATCCTGGACCGCAAGGATTTCACTGGGACATGCATTTGATCCTGAGCTGTCTTGGACTGTTCAAGGAGCCCGGGGAGGACCCATGGAGTCCGAAAGCGACGAAACGTTCAAGGACAGCCTTCGTCCAGGACTCCTGGATCGTGGCGAGCCCCGACCAATCGACCCCCCACCTTTCTTGGCGTGCGCTCTGCCAGAAGTTCGAGGGTAAGCCGACGGAGGCAACAATGAGCTTCCTCAAGTTCAAAGAAAGACAAAACAGAATACATTTTCCTGATTCCTCAATCCTCGGTTCTCTACCCTTCCTGATGCCGACCACGACAACAACGCAACCGAAAACTGGCAAAGCAAGTTAACGAAACCGAAATGGACCGAAAAGGAATTTGGAGGCGAACGCAACCGAGAAGGACGCAGCGAGGCGGCAACGACACCACCGCCGACCGAACACGCCTGACCGAACGCAACCGACCGCGACGCACCCGATAATTACGACCAAACCGCGGACACCCTTGCTTAAGCCCCGACACGGCAATCACGGTAAACATCGAATCGAACAACTGGATCGGATCGGAACGTGCGTCGAACCGGGTCGCATCGGCACGGAACCGAAACCGCATCGGACTGGACTGCGCCCGGTGCACGACAACGTCATGGAAGCATCGGGCCGCATCGGATCGTCGGAATGTCGGGATCGGATCCAATCTTGGAGGAAGGCCAATTGAGAGAGCGTCTGCTCTCCCGCCTGGCACAAGTCCTCTCTAAACCTGACCTCCCCCCCCCCCCCTGGGGCCTATCCAGACCCGTTCTTCGAGGCGGATCCAGCCGCAGCGACGAGAAACCTCCAGGAGGGCCAAATAGGACGCAGAAGTCCAGGGAAGGCCGCCGCTGTCTCCACTGGCCCTCCTCCGAGATCTGCGCCGACCCCGACGTTCTGTGACCCCTCTGCTTTGGACGCCTGAGATGGGCACGGAACAAATAAGTACAATGCCCGATAACAACTTTTGCTCAAAACCGTCAGCGGCCGCTGTCGGGCAGGCGGTTTTTTGTCTTCAATGATCAACGTCCGCGGCGGCGCGGACAGCGAGTCCTGTTCAAAATGACAAGGAACTGCTGTTGGGCATCGTACCCATTCTCTCCGTGCCCATTTCCATCGTCCCGATCCTCTCGCCATGCGAGCTCGCTGGGCGCCCCGCGGAGCCAGGGGGAGAACATCGTCCACTGCAGGGCGGGGCAGGAGGCGAAGAACGAGAGGGCCTGGGGCGCCCACGCGGGGTGGGCGGGCGCCTGCACGGACACCACGACGGCGCCGGCGCCGAGTCCGTCGGTTGGCAGGACTGTGGGCGCCACCGCCGGGGGCCGTCGCCACGGCTGAACTGGAGGCCTCCCAGATGGGGTCCGAGTGGGTGGGGTTGGAGGATCTCGCCGCATCGCCGATACATCGGCGATGCACTGGCGACGTCGGCGATGCAGCGGCGACGTCGGCGTGGAAAAAAAGGCCCCCACACCAGGCCGCATCGGCGATGCATCGACGATGCATCGGCGATGCAGCACGATCCTCCGATCCCATCTACTGACCCCATCTAGGAGGCCTTGATGAACGCGGCTCGAAAAACTGGCCAAGATCGGGCGATGTCAACTGGACCACCTTATCGATCATGGCTGGGCCTATCCTGGGCCCAAGATCGGTGCATGATAGAGGGGCCCAAGGACACACAAGTAAATACAGGCACAAATCCCAGAAACCGCATAGTTTGCCATATTGTCGGGTTTTCGTCCTCCACCCGCTGCCCATACGTTTTCATATTTTCCTGGGAGCCGACGATTAATTGTGTATGTGTGTTTTTCCCTCCTGATAGTTATTCCCCGACAGGAAGCACGGTGAGAGGGGTCCAGCCGTTCTGACAAGACATTAATCAGTTGAGGGCGGGGACACAAAGAGTCAAACAGAAGCTATCAGAGGTCTGCGCGGATCGCTGGGATCGGCGCTGGATTCCCTTCCCTGGGGCGGCGCCGAATGCGCCGCCAAGGAGGTCCAGCGCCGATCCAAGAAATTAGCGCGGACCTCCGAACGTCTGGTGTTTTTGCAGGTGCTTCGTTGTCGAGCTGGAGAGGGAGAGGGGGACGGACGACAGAGGATCACTATGTTTGACTCGTTGGTATCCTGCTCTGGCAGGTAAGTGACGCCCTGGCGGCGCCGATCCAGCGGGACGGCTCACCGACCACGAAGGTTTCAGAGTTGCCCAGCCCTCAACGCATCATGTTACGAGACAGCTCCTAGGAGGTCTTTGTGGAAGCGGCGAAAGGTTGGAATAGGGCGCCATTACGCGCCAGACTGACTCAGATGAAGCCAAGACTTCAGCAAGATCAAGCCAGACTGTAAACCAGACTGAGCATGACTCGGCCAGATGGGGACGGTCGCCGACAATGGATATACCAGCACCGATGCCTAACCTCCCAGGACTTGCAACCGAGGTTGGCATGTCGTCATAGCCTTACGCAAGGTGCATCCACTCCCGACCAATGTATTGATACTGTTGCTTTCAGCACGGAGACTGGGTTCATCTCCCTCCACACTCCTACTTCCCTTCCTCTCCGCTGGCTCCTACTCCAAGTCCCTCCTCCTTCTCCTTGCTCCTGGAACCATCGTGCAGCCACGAGGATCAATCGGTGATGAACGAAGAGGCCTTTCTGGCTGGGCTTCCCGACGTAGATCTAAGGAGTGGCCCGACAAATAGCCCCCCCTGAGCCAAAACTGGTCCTTGACTGCAGCTCCCTGCCACCTCCCACTATTCCTCTTCCTTACCTCCTCCTCCTCCTCCTCCTCCTCCTCCTCCTCCTCCTCCTCCTCCTCCCGCCTCATCCTCATGCCTCTTCCTGCTCCTCCTCCCCCCTGCTCCACAAACATCCGCCAGCACAGCTGCTCGTGCCTTGGCCCCCTCCCAGCTCCGCCCAAGGAACCAGCCCCTTCACCCAAACGTCGACTTGTGCCAGCCCCGAATGCCCAAGACGGGCGTCCCTGGGACCGCCATCGGGGAAAGACATGCCGTCAAGACTCCTGTCGCGACGCCCTGATCTCGGCTTCTCTACTCCCGAAGTCCCCAGAAGTCCTCGGGCATCTTCGGTTCGGAAACGTACAGAGAACCAAACACAATAATTAGCGAAGGCTCATGTGACTCGATCTGATCGATCCTCCTCCTCCTCCGAAAACAAGACAAGACAAGAACCCCTCACTAATCCATGCCAGTGTTCAACCTGACGCTTCAAGCACTACGCATAGCAACACGACTGTATGAACACGATCACACATGATGATATTGGTGACTGAAACAAACGGTTTGAATATTCGCTTTGAACATGGGTTACAATCAACCCGTCTAGTAACGATGCGCGGCAAGCATGCCCGTGCCCTGGAAGGCCATGTCGACACTTTGCGAGTGGGACGCGGCCAGCTGAAGCGGCCAATGATGGGCCGAAGCGGAAGGAAGCAAGGGTAGCCTTGGAAAGTAAATCATCCTCCTTACTATGCGGGTTGACTGTACACTAGGTCGAGAAGGGAGGAGGTGGAGGAGGGGATGGCATTAGGTAGGTAGTTTGGAAAGTTCATTTGCTGTAAAGGACTTCTAAGGAGGCATGAGGGAGACAACGTTAACTCAAGGCCCTGACGAAAGCTGAAGCACCAGGAGTCGGAACACACGATGCATGTTCCAGTTTGAGGCCACGAGCATGCCAGAGCGCGAACAAGAACAGCGAATGCCAAAACGCAGGGGCACGCTGAGAACGCCTTCCCTTCGATATCCTTCGGTGGCAACTCATGGGGGCCTCCCATTCCATCTTGTCGGCTATTGCTAATCGACGCTAGTCGACGCCAAATCGACGCTAAATCGGCACTGTCTCCTTGACTCCCAAACGCTCGCCAACGATAAACGCAGAGAAATACGGAATTAGGAGGGTATATCAGGCTGCCATGATTTGCTACCAAAATATCCTTCTCACCTTGGCATGAAGGACAGGGGTCCTGATGGAATCTCGTACTGGACCCCGCGGCCTGTCCCAAGATAATGTTGCTTCATCCTGAGCAATTTGTTGAACAATCCAAGGAACCGTGGAGGGCCCAGGGAGGTCAAACACTCAGGGAAACCTCAGGACCCGTTTCCCTCGGGACCCCATTCCGAAATTAGACAGCAGAACATCCACACTGATCATAAGCACCCCGACAAGCGAAGCCGTTTAGCAGACGCATCCAAAGAAGGACTCGAACAGGGCAGGGCTGTTTACAGTCAGCCCGTTCAATAAGGATGCGCGGTACGGATGCAAGGGCCTTGGAAGGCCATGTCGACACTTTTCGAGCGGGGTTCGGCCAGCGAAAACGGCCAATGATGTGCTGAAGGGGAAGGGTGCAAGGAAAACCTTGGAAAGTCGCACATCCTTGGTATGCGGGTTGACTGTAGTAAACGCCCAGGGCCGTGTAGCAAAGGTCGATTATCGGGGTCGGGGTGGCCTTCAACCCTTGAAAAGTTTCGATCCTCCCACTTCCTCCTCCTGGAAATCATGATGCTGTGCTCGTGCTGCAAGGATGAGAAGCGGCTGTCCAGTATGAACAGCAACAGCCCGAACGCGGCCACCGAGACCGTCCTGCCGCCACGCAGCTTGCCCGGGCCGCCCCCGCCCCGGCAGCGCCAGCTGTGCCGAGCTGTCCCGCCGCCCCTGGTGGACTCGCAGGGGGTGGCAGGCACTCAATTGAGAAAGAAACTACTGCACAAATATGACCCTTCGGAGCTCCGCACGGATGTCTTGGATTCACGCTCGAGGGGAGGAGGAGGAGGAGGAGGAGGAGGAGGAGGAGGAGGAGGAGGAGGACCTCCCTCTTTCACGCGCAGCACACGGGAGATGACGCCAGAGGCGCCGCCAGGGGAGCCATGCGCCGATCCGAATGATCCGCGCGACCAACGTCGGGGGGTAGCACAGTCGAAACATGGCTACGAGAACGTGGGTCAAGAACACGCGCCCCGTGTGAGCGTCGTTTAGCCGACCCCTATCCTCACCGGCATGGCGTGGGCCCCACTGGCCGATTTACACCACTAGCTGGGAGTACGGGCAGTCTCCTTCGCGTTTCGAGGAGTATATCCCCAATGGGGGTGCTGAGATGGTAGGGGTCCGGATGGGGATGGGGATTTGGATGCGGGTAGGTAAAACGAGACTGACCTTCGCCGAGCGTCGTTCCTCCTCCTCCTTCCTCCTCCTCCTCCCTCCTCCTTCTCCTCCTCCCTCCTCCTCCTCCTCCTCCTTCTCCTCCTCCGCCTCCTCCTCCTCCTCCTCCCACTTGTTTTAGCTCCAAGCTCAAAAACACGGCTCCAAAACCAGTGTTGCTCTCGACTGTACGCAGAGCCAGGGAACCGCATGCCTCACGGGGGAGGGGGCGGGGCTCAGAGGGGCTTGGGCACAGCGCCGAGGGAACTTCGACGGGCCTCGACCGGGACTTCAACGGGGCTCTGAGCCGAGCCCCGACGAGGCCGTGATAGAGCCACAACGGTTCTGAAGGGGGCTCAGCGGAGCTTCACAGCGGCGTCAACTAGGCTCTGAGCTCAGAAAACATGAATTTGACGTAGGGATGGTAAAAGAGGGCTCACAAGCGGAGCACTGCGGAGCTGTATCACCTCTGCGTTGTGAGTCCTCTTCGGCGAGGCTTCCTCGACTTGATATTGTATTGAAGATGCGAGGTTTGCAAATGAGCGCTCGCACGCAGAAAATGCAACAAAACACACAATGCTGTACGGCGGATCATTCTGCCCCACCCGTCGGTGTCCTGCACCGTGACTTAAGGCACCCTTGCTCCCAGGCAACGTCATACCATCAAAGACAATCGGCCCAGAATAGCAACAACAACACAAAAACGTATAGAGTCGGAGGTCCGCGCGGATCTCTTGGGTCGGCACTGGACCCATCCTGCCCCAGAGCGCGGAGCGCCCCAGGCGTGGCGCCAGAGGCTTTGGGGTACAGAACTATTGTCTCCTTTTCTTCCCCCACCTCCTCCTCCTCCTCCTCCTCCTCCTCCTCCTCCCATCTCCCTAACTCCTCCTGCCTTCCAAGTCTCACCCGCCCCCTACTTCTTACCTATCTTCTATCTCGGCTCCTTGGATGTTGCCGACTGACCATTTGTACTGCACCACATAGCGCTCCACACATTTTACAACATATATTGCAAAACATTAATGACACAACATATGTTGCTAAACATTTATTGCACAACCTAAGTTGTACTACGTACATCGGTTGCTCCAGACGTATTGCCAAGCATGGGTCGCTAGACATACTCTGTTGAAGTCCACGCTGGTTAGCATGTGCATATCTAAAAGTTGATAGGTGCAAACATATAGATACGTAAGACACCACTTCGCTGGACCTCCCAGGCGCCCACGAAAGTGGCGCTAGTGGCGCAATTGGCACCACCCAGGGACAGCGAGGTATCAGTTGGATCTTCGTAGCACGCCACTTCGACGGATCTTCCTGTGACCACCAACAATGGCGACGGTTGTGGAGCTTGCAGCACCGATAGACAGGCCTCATCTGAGAACACGTAAGACACCCTGCGCCCCTCGGGAGCACACTGCCGTGGCAACAGGTGCGTAGTTGGCAGCCTCGAGGGACGCGAGGTCTTACTTTGATCTGCGTAGCACGCCACCCGGCTGGGCCTCCCAGAGCCCCCGCAAGTGGGGGCAGTTACGCTGTTAGCAGATCCCAGGAAGGCGAGGTCTCATCTGGCCCTGCGTAGCACACCACCCCGCTGGGCCTCCCAGGAACACACGAAAATGGCGACAATTGATAGAAAGTTCTTAGCCGTGTAGCGCACGGCGGGACGCCAAACTTCCAAAGAGCAAACTTTCAGCTTCAGCCTTAAGCTTGAGCTTGGAGCTTCAGATCTGGTCTGGCTGGTTTGGTTGGACTGGTTTGAGCTAGCCATGAAGCCTTAGCTTAGGATTCGGGCGAGAATGGTTTAGGGGAGGTCCAGGGAGGCATCGACAACCACTATGACAACCGAACGCCCGTTTTTTATTTGCAGTTTTATTTGTTTTGCAGTTTGGTTTGCATTGCATGCTGTTTTGCAACTGGTCTGGCTGGTCTGGTTCAACTGGCTTGAGGTCAGTCCTGAAGTCTTAGCTTAGAATTCGGGCGAGAATGGTTTAGGGGAGGTCCAGGGAGGCAGCGCCAACCACTGCGACCACCGAAAACCATTGTTGTGTGCATTGCAATATTGTTTGATTTGCACTTTGTTGCAGCGCCGACCACTGCGACCACCAACATGCATTTGTTTGCAATGCAATGTTGTTTGCTTTGCAGTTATGTTTCGGTGCATTTAGTTTGCATATGTTATAGAGTGTCTGGTTGGTCTGGCTTGAGCTTCGTGTTCAAGCTTTAGGCTCGGATTCGGGCGAAAGTGGTCTACGGGAGGTCCAGAGAGGCAGCGCCAACCACTTCGACCAAAGAAAAACAGTGTTGTTTGCATTGCCGTGTTCTTTGCTTTGCATTTTTTCAGTGCAGTTGTTTTGTTATGTCTGGTCTGGCTGGTCTGGCTGGTACGGTTGGACTGGTTTGCGCTTAGTGCTGGGGCTTTAGATTCAGCTTTGCAACTTGTTTTACTTTGCATGTTTTGCGTTGCAAATGTTTTGAATCTGGCGGCTGGTCTAAATGGTCTGGTTGGTCTGGCCGGTGTCTGGCTGGTCTGGTCCGGATTGAATCGGAAACCAATGGAACATAAGCCGAATGGGCAACGAAGTTGTGAGGGGGAGAGAGGACAACGAACAGAACATAGAAGTCAGACCACGGATGTGCACGACGAGTATGATCAAGAGTGCAACGAGCAAGACAATGACGATCAAGACGACGAACAAACTTCAACAGAGCAAGCTCCTGCTTAATACGTAAACTTGTCTGGTTGGTCTACCTGGCCTGTCTGACTGTCTGGTCTAGCTGGTCTGCTTGGTCCAGGCAGGTTGGTCTGCCTAGTGTGGTCAGGGTTTCGGAGGTCTGAACGGCTAGCTTGTCTGCTTGGTCTGGTTGGTTTGACTGGCTAATTTGGCTGGCTGGCCTGGCTAGTCTGCTTGGTCCGGGCAGGTTGATTTGGTTAGTCTGGTCTGTGCTTCGCTGGTCCGAACAGCTGGCTTGTCTGGTTGGTCTGGTTAATCTACCTGGTTGGTCTGGTTGGTCTTCCTGGCTGGTCTGACTGGACGGTATGGCTGGTCTGCTTGGTCGTCGCCGTCGTCCTCGTCCTCGCCCTCAACTTCCTCATCAACGTCGTCGTCATCGCCCTCCCCCTTGCATCGCCGCAACCGGGGCTGGGACCGCAAGCGCTGCTGCGTCAACTCCGGCTGCGGTGGAAAGGAAGGTGGTAAGGGAGGGGACATCAGCAGCAATATGCCATATCAGTTATTATGCCTGAAAGCAAAAGTAAGGCGATGTGGCATAAGATTTGTTCGCCTCGAACAACTTCGAACGTGGAGCACGACATGTTGTGCAACCTACGTTGTGCCATTGCTACCCAATCTTGCACTTAAGGGCTCTAACTTCTGGCCTGAAGAATTTGGCTGGTGTTCCGCTATGGCGGTTTTGTGCCGCCGTCGCCGCTCCGTCGCCACCTCGTCGCCGCCCGTCGTCTGGGGCGGTACGCCGCTCTGGTGGCTAAATTGCCGCCGTCGCCGCCCCGTCGCCGCCCATCGTCTGGGCCGGTGTGTCGATCTGGCGGCCACGTTGCCGCCGTCGCCGTTCCGTCGCCGCCTAAATTGCCGCACAATTTGCACCGCGTACCTTGCGCAACATTTATTGGACCGCAGAGATTGCATCACATGGATTGCGCAACATTTGTTGCGCCACATATATTGCACAACGCGTATTGCACCACGCAGTTTGCACAACTTAGATTGCACGCCATGCCAATCGTTTGTACCAGTTAGACTGAACGGCATGGCTTGCGAACTATGACATGCACAACATGGATCGCACAATCTATATTGCAGCACGCGGGGCGCCAAACTTATATGGCGCCGCAAGGATTGCAACGCGTAGATCGTGCTCGCTCCTCCCTTCTCCTCCTCCTCAGCGCCGCGCGCGGCGCTCTTGTTTGCGCGCGCCGCGGCGGCGGGCGCCCTGTGGTGCGAGCGCGGCCGAGCCCAGGGCGCCCGTCGCCCAGCGGCCACCTTCTGGCCGCAGCCGCCCCCGCCCCCCCCCCCCCCCCCCCTGCCCTCGCGGGGGCGCCGCCTTGGGCTCAGGGGGCGGGGCGTCCGCCGAGGGCGGGGAGAGCGGAGCCACGGCGGCGCTGCGCGGCCGCGATCCTCATGGCGCCCCTCCTCCGGTCAGCGCGGGGCACAACCGCGCGAGCTCGTCGGCGTTGAAGACCCTCGAGCTGCGGGGCAGGCTGGCGACCCCGAAAGGCTGCGAGGAGGTCGGGGTGACCAGGAGCTCGCGCGGATAAACGAAGTCGAATATCTAGTGCTCGCTCCTTCCTTCGCCTCCTCCTCAGCGCCGCGCGCGGCGCTCTTGCCTGCGCGCGCCGCGGCGGCGGGCGCCCTGTGGTGCGAGCGCGGCCGAGCCCAGGGCGCCCGTCGCCCAGCGGCCACCTTCTGGCCGCAGCCGCCCCCGCC